TATTACTATGGTGAATGCAATGCAAAAACTGGCAGGACAATAAAAAAATTTAAATTGGGAACAGCTATAAATGACAATGAACGCAATGCCTTAAAACCGTAGTAGTAGGCTTTATGCAATGAAAACGGTAACCACACTTGAGAGAGATTGAATGCTTGGCCAAAAGAAGGGGATTGTGTAAGCAGGCTTGGTTGTACAGAAGTAGAAGAGTGGTAGCAATGAGCTTAGGACTGTGTAGACAATCAGTATGACATGACAACATTTGATTGGACATGTATAGGGGCTTCAGGCAGCCAATGGGCAACTTGAACAGGTGTTGTTCTGCAGGTCATGCGCATGTGTGGGCATCTGTGCGTGACACAGTGCGTGTTGAAGGGCTACATGTACATGCATAATTAAGGTCAGCAGCAACTGGTGGGCAATGTGTGGTGTGAATCCCACCCACACAGCATGAGCTAGGATTGGAAGGTTATGTGTGAAAAAGTAAATTAAATTTTGTCTTTCATTTTTGCACAAAGTGTAAAAAAAAAAAAAAAAAAAAAAAAATCAGTTTTTTCGATTTTTTACTTTCTAGGTTGTAATTTTTTCCAGCCAATTTGGACTCAAAACTGGCACTGAAGAATTATCTATCAAACAAAAAAAATTCCATCAAAATCAGATGAAAACTGTGTAAACGCATAAACAACATCCGATCACACACACAGACACACATACATACACACACACATTTTGAGAATTATAGATATAGATAATATTATTGTAATAATTTAAACTATTTATTTTTATTAAAGTTTTTATGAAAGATATATATCCAAGAACAGATAGTAAATAGTAAAACATTGCTGAGAGTTATAATGGACAGGAAGTAGTGGAGAGCTATTGTCACCAACAATTTGGATTCATAAATTACACTGAAGAACTATCTATCAAAAAAGAGTTTCATAGAAATCGGATAAAAACTGTGGAAACACATAAACAACATCTGATCACACACACACATACATACACACACACATTTTGAGAATTATAGATATAGACAGTGTTTTATATACATCTCAAGATAGTATAGGTTTGAAAACATATGTACAATATCTGATATTTTTAATCATTACTACTAAGAAAGTTTAATTATTCTTTGGTGAAATAAAATTTTCTAGGGCACATAATGAGGAAAGGGAGCTTGAAAAATTTCATAGTCACAAGACAGATTGAAGTCAAGAGGGACAGAGGAAGATGTATAACCTACCTAGCAAGCTTGAGTAAATGGAGTAAGATTTGGGAGAGATAACAAAAAGACAAAATTTATTAAAAGCTACAAAGGACAGGAAATTGTGGAGAGCCATGATTGCCAATGTCCCAAAGGGGTATAGTACGTAGAAAAATGTACAAAAACAATAAATTTATTACAAAAGCTATTTCTATCATATTCCAATTGTGGCCATTTGTGAATTGTGAATCTGCTTTTTCATTATTATTTTCTTTGATGGTTTTTAATAACTACAATTTATTTTTTCCTGTAAGGCATAAACTAGGGTTTTTCCTTTCAATGTACATGAGAATTTTATAGTTCATACCTTTTGTTAGTATGAATTGGCCAGCTCTAGAACTGAAATTATCCTTTTTTTAACATGAGTTTATTAAATATAGCAATTAGAAATTAATTTCTATATTTTTATTAAACTTTCATTTCATAAAGCAGGTCACTTTGCTATTTAGGAAACAGGAAGTCAATACAAAATTGTTCACTTGAAAATCCATTTTCAGAATTACATAAGAAAGGTGGCAGTTGTATAACAAACTATCTCTTTATGGCCTTGAAATGTAAGAAAAAATAAACAATATGATAACCCTGTTATAAATGTTTTTCAATCCCAATTCCAGTTTTCTCTTCTAACATATTTTTCATGTATTGCAATTGTCAGTTTATAAAAAGAAAATATTCCAACCAATTTTTTACATAATAATTGTTGAACAAATACAAGTCTACATCAGGAGTCAGGAGTCAACTCATTAACAACTACTACCATATAATTTGATGGAATAACTATTCATTTAAAAACAATCTGATAGAAACGGAAATTGGTACTCAAGTCTTAAGAGATGCTGAAAATTCCTACTTTGCCTTCAAAACAGAAAATGAATAAAATAGTTACTAGTGAAAAAAACTCAAAACAAATATAAGAGACCAATATAAAACTTGATATTTTATCATTCTTTTTATAATTAACTAAATTTTCAATTATTTTTATTATGATAAAAATTACTTAATTTCAAAAACAAAGTCTGACAGAAAAATAAAAAAAATTCAACAAAATACTCAGTTGCACTTGGGTATTATAGATAAAGGATTTTTGGTCAATGAAAAAAATATTATATATTATCATTATCTATATAATTATTCATGAAAATACTAAATAAAAAAGAAGAGAACAAAGCAACATATTAGCTAATTTCCTTTTGCTCCCAATTTCCTCAACAACCTTTCCACTTATTTGTACATAATGGTTGTATTATCACTTGCCCTAAGTTTCCTATGATGATGATGATGATAATGTTTGTTTAGTTGAAATGTTTTGTTCCTTTCTCTCTATCAAACTGTTTTGCTTGATTGTCTTACTCTGAAGGTAGTTCTTTCCTCTACTGATGAGTACAGAATTCCACATGTTCTTTCCACAATCAACCCTCAACAATTATATAAAGCTAAGGTTATCAAATTCGTTTTATGTTTTTTTCACCTTTTTCAAAGTAACAGTCATAACATCAGACTTAAATCAAGAATTAATAAAGAACAAGTTAAAATAAACAGAAATAGATTATAATTATAGAAGAAAGTTGATATTATAAAATACTTGCAATTTTAATAATTATTTACAAATATTTTTCTAATTAAATTCATATAACAGAAATCAAAGTTAATAAATGCTGCTAAATAAACCTTACTGTATAAAATTTAATATTTAAGAAATACATTAGAAAATTAGTATACTGCTTCAAAGTATGAGCAAAGGAAAATGAATATTCAATAAAAGTGCAACGTGTTTCTTAATTTTATATGTATAAAATTTCCATATTAGACTATTAAAGTTTTATCTTCTAAAGTTGTAAAAATAATTTTGCACCAAATTTTTTAAATGGAAATAATGATGTAATATCTACTGTAATACAATTTCTTCTTTAAATTGAGACATTGCATCTGAAATGACCATTCTTATAGTAACAAATTATGTAAATAAATTTAGTTAATTTTATTAATAAATGTATAACTTTAATTTTGTAAAGTGAATATAACCATGTAAAAATAACTAATATCATTCACACTATATTAAATCTTGTATATGTTATTTTGCACTACTTTTCAATAAAAAATAATAAGTTTAATTTATGAATCTTGATTAAATAATTTTATTAACAGAGTTGTGATATAAACAAATATATAATAATGCAAATTACACCAGCTTCAATGCAAAACACTGAGTTTAACAACTATAAGAATTTTAGGGGATGCTTCAGTACATTGACAGGATAGTTTGTGTGTATACACATCAATGATATTTTCCACCAATGCTAGTAATTGATATTTAAGACCAACTAAGAGCTAGGGTTCAATGCTGATTTTTAAGGTACAACAGGCAGGTTTTCCACATTTGAAAGACTGACATTTTCTCATTTCCTCCTCATCAGGCTGAGCTATACTTAGCTAAGGGGGTACTGAAAATATTTTAGGCCTGACCCAGTTCTCAAAATCTGACCAAATGACCAAATATCAGAATTCTTTTAAATCACATTTTTTTTTAAGGTCAAGAACTTTTCATCTCTTTGTAAATATCAATGTGATAAATTTTTAAATATTTTATTTTTATTTACTTACTGCTAGAAAAAAAAACAACAATTTCCTGACAAGAACTGAATATGTAAAACGAACAGCAAAATTTTACATGTGAAAGAAATGAGATGATCTGCAGAGAAAGTAGGAGTTGAATAAAATACAGATTAATTTTAGACCATAATAAACTGTAGACAGATCTTAAAAAACAAAATAACTGAAATCTGATGCAAGAGATAATAAACAATGAAACTAACGTTGTTATTATTACCAAGCACAAGCAACAAAAAGCTAATTATTTTAAGTTCTTTTTATATTTGCTTAATGGTCAAATATTACAATGCTGTCAACTTTTCAAAATGTCAATAATATTTTGTGCTTTACAAAATTATGACTCCATTAATAATGAAGAAAAATATTAAGCTGTTTGGAAAGTAATTACATCTTAGCAGAAAGTATATAAAAACAAATGTAAGTTAAATTTATTTAAATATTATTTATCAGAAATATAATCACCTTCAATTTCAACAAATGCAATGCAATGTGAAGGCATCAATGCAAATGAAAATATGTAGGTGCTAAATCTGGTGAGTATAGTGGATATGGAAGAACCTCCCATTGTAAAGATATTTTTTCTTGAGTTTGTTTTGCAGAGTGTACCCTTGCAGTGTCATCTAGAGGTAAACAGCTTTTCTATTTACAAGAGTTTTATAGCCATATCACATGGAAACACTCGTTCTCATATGACCTGTCCTGAGTATGACGATAAACTACATCCGCGTCCTGGGTAAGACGATAAACTACGTCCAACAGCAAGGCCTCAGATCAGGAGGTTTTGAGGAGCGTGGAACCACCTCTTAATTGCTGGGGTTCCCAAGTCCACCCTGACCCGGGGTGTTAGCACCTGTTAGTGTCCCAGCTATGGACAAATAGTTAACCCCCACCCCCCAAACTGGGGTCAAAACACTATGAAAGTGTAAAAATAGGTTTTAATACCAGAAATACTTTGTAAAAAAAATTATTACCAGCTATACATTTTCAAAAAACAAATATTACCAGCAAAGGAAAAAAGATTACCAAAAATAGATTTTTGGAAAAAAAATATTATTAATGAAAATTTTGTCAGCATTAAATAAGCATTGAAGTTGATATGCCATAAAACAAAACAAACCAAACCAATCTCATATGATCACCAAAGTTAAGCAACATTGAGCCTGGTTGGTACCTAGTGGGTGACCACTTGGGAGTACAAAATGCTGTAAGCTTGAATGTGCATGTACTGTAATGGATAATGGATCAGAATTGGAAATCAGAGAGTCAAGTTCTAATTTCAGTCATGTTTGTTTTATTTGTTTGGGAATATTCTGGGAACATTATGAATACATCTCGTCTCCTCCTTCTTTGGATTAATTAGTAGGACTTGTATCAGTAAATCATTATCTCAAAAACATTCTTACAATGTAAAAATATTTTCTGGTTTTAAATAACCTGTGAAGTGTTGAGCTGTAAAAACAAAATCAATCAATCAATTTACCAAAGCAGGACACATTCAGTGTAATGCTTCATTTATCCAATCAAGTTGCTGACAATATGCATCTGCAGTGATGATCTTTCCAAGTTCCAGTAGTTTGTAATGAATGACACCTATCATATTCCACCAGACACAAAGCAAGGACTTCAGTGGATAGAGTCCTAGTTTGGGTGTTAATGCTGCTTTCTTTTTTTGTCATAAGCACTGTCTTTTACATTTTTTGTTAACATGCAAAACTCTTTTTTCATCTCCTGTAACAATGCAAAGAACAATGAAAAATTGGCAATCCTGGTTGGAATACTGTATTCAGTTCTCAAGCAAAATCTCATGAGGAATTCAATTTCCCTTTTTGCAAGTTAGTTGACTCATAATTCATAGTGTGGAAATATGTAATTACTTTCCAAAATAGCCAATATTTTTGTAGGAACATAAAAATAAAAAATAGACGGACCAGTATATAACATATTTCCACTTATAACAAAAAGGTACTATAAAACTATTAAAAACAGTTATGTAAATGAAAGTTGTTTTCACAAATACTATTAGAGTTAGATCTGTAAAGCCATATATATACTGAATTAGCATAATCTGAGAAAGGTTCTTTATATCATTTATTTTGATCTACACATATATATAGGCATAATATCTTCCAAATGTCAGCACCAAAACAAATCTTATGGTCATCTTGACACTAGCTGCATGTGGAAGCTTTTTCTTCTGGATTTTGGATGAAAGAACCAAGAACAAACATAAACATGACAAATGAAAATGAGACAAAAAAGAAGTATTGTTTAAACAGATAAGTAGATGTGTGAAAAATATCCAAGAAATTGATAAAAGTAGCCTAAACTGGTGAAGATTGTTTAAACTGAATATATTTGCAAAACCCAATATCTATTGGTAAGCAAATATCTGTCATATATTTTTAATGAAATTGAAAATTACTATTAAAGTGAATTCTGGGATTATTGCAAAGAAATATATACATTTCATGGCACTGATAATTTGATTTTATGTTAAATTATAACTGTATATGATAAAGAATTATCTTATTTGAAAGTAACAGGTTATATGCAAATTTCAGTGTAAAATTTGAAGGGATTTGAGCTTCATAGTAAGTTATAGTTCACAATTTTATTTATTTTTTTTTTTTTTCTGGATAGTGGGTTCAGCTCAAACTGCTTGGAAAATTCTGAGATATAGACTTGAAATATATTTATTGCTTTTGTCAAATACATTTTTATCAATAAATATTTAGAACACAGAGTTTTTGTTTATTTATTTTTTATGTGTGTTTCTTTGAAAGCATCTGACATTAAAAGGTGTTTAACATCAACCTTTCTCAAGCAATGTTTCATTCAATACATAGATTTTACTAGGTTTGAAGCTAGTTAAAAAATAGTTACTAAATATACTAGAAATTAAAAAGATCTACACAGACAGAGATAATTATAAAATAGTAAATTTGGATGTTGAACAACTGTGACCAGTTAGATAATGTAAAACAAGAGATGAGTAGGCTAAAAATCAAAATCTAGGTGTGTGTGAAACTAGATGGCCAAACAATGGAGATTTTGTCAGTGACAATTACAGTATTATATATTCAGGCAGAGAGAAAAATGATAAAGGAGTAGGATTGATATTAGATCAAGAATTCAATTAATGTGTTCTGGGATACTATCAATTATACAAAAGAATTCTGGTAGTCAAGTTGAAAGGAAAGCCTTTCAACATAGCTATCATAATAGTGTATGCACCAACAGCACAAAGTAAGGAAGAAGAAATCAAATCTTTCTACTTCATGCTAGGCTCATTGCAAACTGCAAGAAGTCATAATTATCTCGGGAGACCTGAATGCTAAAGTAAGCAGGGAGAAGGCAGGGGATATAGCCAGAAAATTTGAACTAGGAACCTGCAATGAACATGGAGAAAAATGGATCCAATGGTGCTTGGCCAATGACCAGGTAATAGCCAACACATGGTTCCAAGAACAACCGAAATGATTATAGGCATGGAGGAGTCCAGGCAGAGAAACTAAAAAACAAATTGACTACATAACTATCAACAAAAGATTCAGGAATGCAATGGTTCACTGCAAAACCTATCCAGGTGCCAACTGTGGAAGCGGTCATCGTCCTGTTATATGCAAACTAAGAGTGAAACTATAGAATCTGAAGAAGCCTAATGCAGCACTCAAATTGCAATACAATAAACTCCTGAGCAACCCATGCCTGAAAGAAAAATATATGGACAGTGTGAAAAGAAGATATAAGGGACACAATGGAAATGTAAACTCAAAATGGGACACACTAAGAGAAGCTTTAGTGACATTGGCAAATGATATCATCCCAAAGGAGAATGGATGAAGAAAAAATGAATGGATGACTGATGAAACTCAACATGATGCAAAGGAGACAGAAAATTCTGCCAAGATATGGAACAAAATACAGAAAACTACACAACGAAATAAGGACCAAATGCAGGCAAGCTAAAGAAGAGTGGTTAAACAAAAAATGTGCAGAAATAGAGAGATTGAGTACCACCAACAAAGGAGATATGTATAAACAAATAAGGGAACTAACAAGACAGAAGACATGCTTGTTAACAGGCTGCATAAAATTAAAAAATGGACTGCTCATACTATAGAAGGAAATCAATTCTTCAGTACTGGAACAAATATATTGGAGAACTCTACCATGATGAAAGACAAAGAACAGACAATACACAAAATTACTGACAGACTTGAAATTCTAAAAACCAAAGTAGAAGCTATATTGGCGAAATTGAACAGAAACAACACAGCAGGGCCAGACAGAATTGTAACAAATGCTGATAGCTTTAGATGATTTTGGCATAGAGAAGATTACAGAAATAATAAATGAAATCTACAACAGTGGTGATATACTGGAAGATCTCAACAGATCTATTTTCATAGCACTGCCTAAGAAACCAAGAGCAAACAAATATGAACTCCACCAAGCAGTCAGCCTAATGAGTCACATAACAAAACTCATCATCGGTATTCTGATGAATAGAGTGCGCAGCAGTATCAGGCCAGAGATAGGACAAGAACAGTGCAGGTTCGTTAAAGACACTGGAACAAGGAATATGGTATTTAGGCTCAGAATGATATCAGAAAGAGTAATACAAATGCAGAAGGATGTGCAACTATGTTTTATAGACTGCACAAAGGTGATCAACAAAGTACACCACAAAGATCTGTCAGAACTGCTCAGCAACCTTGATATATTTAGGAAAATTATTAAAATAATCAAGAACCTATACTGGCAGCAAATGGCCTGCATGCAGATAGAAAATGAGTTCAGCAGATATACAAAAATAGAAAGGGGCATGAAGCTAGCATGTGTTTTTTCACCAGACTTATTCAACTTATAAAGCGAGGCAATTCTGAGAGAACTGGAAATCCTACCAGGATTCATCATTGGCAGCCACACTCTTGACAACATAAGATATGCAGATGACACAGTGTTGATAGCAGGCATGGAAAGGAAATTACAAAACCTCCTTCAAAGGGCAGCAAAGGAGAGCAAGAAGAAGGGACTAGGCATAAACTACAAGACAGAATGCATGCTCACCAGTAAAAAGTTGAGCCCAAAATGCAATTTACAGGTCAAGGATACTAAAATCAAGCAGGTGCAGAAATTTTAATATCTGGGAAGTGTTTTGTCAGAGCACAGTATGTGCGACACTGAGATCCGAAGACGTATTGGGATGGTCAAAGACACATTCCAAAAGCTAGGTAGAGTATTACGAGACAAGAGGATTTCATTGGTAACAAAGAAAAGAATACTGAACTGCTATGTGATATCTGTCCTCCTTTTCAGCAGCGAATGTTGGACAGTCTCCTCAAAAATGAAGAAGAAACTCAAAGCAATGAAGGTGTGGTTCTACAGAAGGATGCTAAGGATACCATAGACCAGACATGTGAGCAACAATGAGATTTTGGAGAAGATGCAAACAAGGAGGAAGCTTATACTTAACACCAGGAAGAAGCAGCTGAAATTTCTGAGACATGTAATGAAAAAGGAGGGGCTTGGAAAATCTGATACTCACAGGGCAGATAGAGGGAAAGACAGACTAGGGAAAGCAATGCGTGACATACCTAGTTGGCTTACACAAGAGGATGACAGAACAGGGCTTAGGAGAAGTAGGAAAAGGACAAAACATTGAGAACTACAAGGGATAGGGGGAAGTGGAGAGCCAATGATTGCTTACATCCTGAAGGGATATGGCACATAAAAGAAGAAGAACATATGTGTGCATTAGGTGCATGCTTCAAAATATCTACAAGTATCTGATTTAGCATCAAATATCCAAGATGCAAGGACTTGTTCATGGTGGTCAGAGTTATAGTGTAAACAATTATCTATATAAACATGAATCTCTTATTATAATCATATCAACATCTTGATTAATGATATAAAGCATTCAAGTTAAAACCCAATGAAGAAAAAATAAGAAGACAATTTTAATAACTTAGAAAATAAGATATATTAGAAATAAGTAATTACATGTATCTGAAGAAATAACACATCACATCATTCTCCAAGAATGATTGACAGAAATTAATTACATTTAAGAGGCTAAATCAGCTTTAAACATTTTTAGTTACTGTATATATTGATTTGTAAGCTATAATAAAATATAACATCATCAAATGTAAAAATTAAATATCCTGTATAATCTTATTATGATATATATATGAACTGAA